TTTTATAAGGAGAGGAATAATTTTTTATATACTTTTCAATCTTTAGAGCTCTTTAAGCATTTCTGCCAATTTAAAATGAGTCTGTGTCATGCACTAGCCAAGTGATACTTGACAAACTTAATTCTATTCTGTGGGAAAGTAGAAGCCCTGGAGTTCTATTTCTAAATGTGTCACCTGCCCTATATTTCCTTTTTTCTCCTAGAAGATATTTAGACAGACAAACTCTTTTACCAAAAGAATGTTTATTTTTAGATCATTTTCCAAACATACACAGTGCTACAGATCAACTGCTGTTTACTGATTTGTTGTGTCAATAATTCCATTAACTGTGCTTCATATAATTCAGAATATGCACTACTGACCAAACATATGGTGTGGCACCAACAGCAGGGGACAAGAAGGAATGAGCGTGAAGAAACTAAAGTTCAGGCAGCACCTCCCTCCTGTGCTATTAGGTTACTTAGTTCCAGCACACGGTGTTGAAGGAAACTGCATAGTATTTGAACTGTTCTGACAAATTCTAAGACTTACTCCTTTCAGGAATAAATTCAGTGACAACTTAAAGGAAGAAAATTAAATGTAAGTGGAATCCACCACAAGCTCCGTTCTGTCGATTATAAAGGATGTTTTTACGATGAGTAAGATACTTTTTCCAGATCAAGTAAGAATGACATACTGGGCTTTCACATATGGTAAACTTCAAGCTTGTATCGGATCCGTCATTGCTTCTGACGGTTGCTCTTCATATGCTGTCCAAGTGGCTGAGCTGCTTTAACAGAGCATCGGCTCTTCTCTGTTTTCCCTGTATCCTAGGTAAATATTCAGTGCATTCATGTCCTCTTCTCAAGTTCAACCCTCTGCCTAAGCAGGCACCAAGTCACTGATAAATTGTTATGAAACCTTGACTGCATAGTCATTTATCAAACTCCTTTCACCAACCATAAAATTTATATATCTGGTGGTCTCTCTCAGTTTTCTATTATGTAATTAAGATTTAAATTGCCTGGTAAACTCTTTCTGTTAGTGCCTGACACTGATTTTTTTCTTCTTTGTGTGTGTGGTTTGTTGGGGTTTTTTTTAGTCATCAGCAGGACTTCATAAAGTGCATCTGATTCCTGGAATTTACTCCAGTTTTCAACTAGAGACAAGTACTGTGGCGTTCATGGCACAATGTAAAACATCATATTGGGTGGTACACTTGTTTATCTTAGTTTCTTCCTTGAATAGAAATGTTATTTAAAAATATGGCAAAATTGAAAAATAATGTTTTCTCTACTATGTGAACTGGAAGTTCATGTACCGATTCTTGGTGTTAAACTTAGAAATAGTCATGGATTTATCTTAAGGGGAACAGTATGCAATTGTATTGGCTTATGGCCTGAATTTGACCATGTGGAATCAAATGCAAGAGATACTTGTGTTTTCTTTTTTTTTCTTAAACATGTTATTTTATTTTTATATACATGTGAAAAATAAATATATTTAATAATACAATATATCTAGTATATATTACTTATAATACTAAAATTGTATCTAGAATACATATAATATATTTGTACATATGCACATAAACAAGTCTTTTTAGCAAGACTAGTCAAAAAAAGTAACCCTGATTCATCACAAACTGTTGTAAACTGTTCAGGCTAAGTTTAAAAAAAAAAAAAGTCAAATTGCTTCATTAAATTTTATCAGTTATATCTGAGACCAATCTTTTAACTATATTCAGTCTTTTAACTGTTTTTTAACTGTGTCACTGGATTAAATGTAACAGAGCTGTAGCCAAAAACCGTGAAAGAGCGTGAGAAAAGGAGCCTTCTCAAAGGAGTCTCGCTTAGCCTTGTGCCTTAAGGTCGAGCTAGGAGAAATCATTATGTGCACACCTCATTTTCCCTAAGTGGAGGGAAGAGTTCTTCCCAGTTCCTTGACCAGTTTGGGTTCCTCTAGGTTGTAGGGGAGCAGCAGACCTTGAATTGCTGCTGCCAGTGCAGTTCATTCTGCCCAGGTTCTTCTGGGGCATCCTTCTCTTGTTGGCTGTCTGTCCTTAGTACTTCTCAGGTGTGAGCAGGCTGCTGAGTTACATGTGCTTGCACAGTGGATGATTTCCATGTGCTCAGTAAATCAACTGTTCTGTGAAATGCAGTCTTAGGGCACACAGAGTGATGAGGGTTTTTTGTTTTTTTTTTTTTTTAAGCTGTAGCTCAGGTCATGTGCTGTGCAAGGTGGGTAGGGAGATTGTAATGGACAACTCTTTCATGCCAGTAGAAGAAGGCCTGCCAGCTCAAGAAATTGGGCTATTCTATTTAAAAAGTGGTCTGAGAGAGAAGAGGAAATACCAAGGAAGACTATTTGGGACTTTTAGGCCTTCTGATGACTCACTGTTTCCAATTTGTTTATATGTACTATTTTTGTAGGCTGCTTGACTATCATTCATATGGCTTGGTGCTCCCAATCTCATTTGTGGACTGCAAGAAAATAGTTGGTGTGTGTTATGTGAAGAGCCAAGGCCCTATACTGTAGCTGGGGGAGGAGGTTACAATCAACAGGTCCCTTTATACACGGTGCAGAATGGGGCATGTTCTGTGGATCTGCTGTGGATTCTTATGGTAGACTCAGACTATGAACCACTGTTGTGGAAGGTGAGAAGCCAGGAGATCCTGGAAGGTTGTGTGCTGTAATATAAAAGAGAAAAGTACTTCTCTGTGTGTATTAAGGAAACCAGAAGAGGAAGATGCCATTGATCATTATTGCTAGGCAGCCATCTCTCATATCTGTATGTAACCTTACAAAAATACTGAGCATACATCCCCTTTTCTCATCTTTCTTAATGCGAAATCTTGATTATTTTTTTAATTTATATTTTTCCCCTCTCTTCAAATTGGGCCCTTGATTGCAGACATGAAAGTTTAGCAGGTCTTGAGCGATGCACCTGCAACCTTATCTACCCCATTCACAGGGGAAATCAGCTTCACTAGCGAAAACCCAACCCAAGCATCGTTTACATACCTGATAGTCTGCTTTGACAGGGAGCCGTGACAAGCACAGTGTGGTGCTTGTACATTCCTGGCTACCGAGTTGCCTTCTCTGGATCAACACTCTTAATTTATGTTCTGGATAATTACTAAATTAGGGGGCATCTCAAAAAAAAAAAAAAAAAGGTAAAATTATTAAATCCTTAAAGGATAAGCATTCAGGGAGCAGGCAGTTTGCATTGCTTCAGCATTGGGAATGTGTGGATATTCACTGATCTCCTACAATTCATCCTTTTCTTTTAAGAAACTGTCCTGTTAAGAAGTGAATTCATTAGCGAACCTGTAAGAATCAGTGTACTGTTTTTTACGATGTGGATGCAATGTTATGTTTGAACATTTTGTAAGTCCTTTAATTATGTTGCATCTCTATATTTTAATTCTGAATATTCCTTTCCACCCCCTGCCCCCAAGAATCTTTTCCATTTTTTATTGGATAAAGTCATAAAGAACTATGACTTTCTAGTGAAGAGCTTTGTAATTTTGGGAATTGAGGTTTTCCATCCAAAATAAAATTCATGTTGTGTGCATTTACCCATTTAAGGAAGATAATAAAATTAAATTCTGCTGTAATAAACTGCTATGATACTTAACGTTTGTAAATGCATCCTCTCCACTCTCTCCCTACTCCCCTTCCTTTCCCTCCTCTTCTCATTCACCTCCCAGAAAAGTATTTATTTCATTGGAAGTGTCTGCTTTGTTCCTCAGGATACATGTGATATTACTTGAAATCAAGGACTAAGAACATGAGCACAGACTGCTGTTAAAACCAACGGTGAAGAAAAGCTGTTAGGGACGAACAGAGAGTCCGAGACCAGCCCACCGAGCCCCTCGTGCATTTCTCCCCCCGCCCCTCCTTCTTATCTGCCCTGCCTTGCATTTTTTGGAGTTGGAGGAGCTCTTATCCCTTAGCTTCTTCTGTACCTTTGTGTGCCTGCCTTTTCCTCCTCTTCTTCACTTTTCTTTTAGGCACATGCATCACAACTTGCTTGTCTGTGCTTTCCTGTAGCAGCTAGGGTTTTGATGACCCCCTAGTTTCAACTTTACATTGCATACAACTTTTGTATGTTGCCTTTTTTCCTCTGAAGAAGGCAATTAAAAGTAGTGATATTTCCATTTACTGTAGTTTATAACTCATCAGAAACTGAAAGTGACCTCACAGAAAAAGGACACCTCTCTATCTTGCTTTAGTTTTCATGCTTGGTCTCAAAGAACTACTCCAAATAATGGTGGTGGTAGAGCTTCTTCACAGCAAATGTTAAAGGATTCTTGAATAATATAGTATGCAGAAGCTGCTACTACTGCTTCTGTGAAGTTACAGTGAAGAGTTATGACTCTTGTTTTGTTTTGTATATTTTTAGGCAGTGTTAATTCCAAATAAACTAGAAAGCAGACTTCAACAAAAATAGAGAAGGCATAGTTTATACAGACACTGTGCTTTATTTGGAGGACTCTCAGGAGAATTTACCGTTCTTGTACGATTGAGGCATCTGTGAGAAAAATGACAGGATAACTTTGAGCACACTGAACACCTCATCCAGACTTCAGCACAGTCCTGTGCAATTGTTTGCATTTTAGATTTTAGAAGTTTGAATTTCTGTTACTAGCAAACATAAATGAATATGGCAAATGGATACTATTTCAGTGGTCAAAACTATAAAAATAAATTTGCTATCACTCCCCTAACTTGCTTCTGAGCAAATCTTGTTTGAAATAATTAAGGTAACATTGTTCTGAAATACTCCTGCTGCAGATTAATAACAGGTTTTGTATGTGTGTTTTCCAATTCTTCTGTAAATGATCTCTGGAGGAAGCTTAGCTAAGCACCAGTTATGCTTTGACAGCATAATTTTAAATTGCTGCTGCAGAACTCAATTCTATGTCTTCATTTTTCCAAGTTAAATTTCTTTTCTGTTATGAAGTCCTGCACAGCAAATGAAACCATTTCAAGTGTTTCGTGTTACCTTGTTTTAGGTTGTTGGAAGAGGAGCCTTTGGTGTGGTCTGCAAGGCAAAATGGAGAGCTAAAGATGTGGCCATTAAACAAATAGAAAGTGAATCTGAAAGGAAAGCCTTCATTGTAGAGGTACAGTAAGTTTGCTGGAAAACGTGGGGATTGGTAGAGCTTGTTGTCTTAAATTCATGGGTGCCTGTGGTGTACTAAAACCTATGTCTGGATTACCAAGGTAGATGTAGCCTGTGGTACCCAGCACAGGCCTGGACCCCCCGTAATGCAGATCAGGACACCTGTCAGAGCACATTGCAGCTCCTTTAGTTTGCTTCCCATAAAAACTGGAGGGCAGGGAGGGAGGGAGGAGGGCACACAGGTCGGGGAAACACCAGCTCCTGGATTCCGTCCCAGCGTGGAGTCAGGGTCCAGCTGAGATACCCACCAAAATCCCAGAGCACATTAACACTGCCAGGGGCTACAGTGTAGGTTCTTCAAACGGTTGGGTCCATACTTGAAACTGTTTCTTAGGTTTTTTTCAGCAGTTCTAATAATTTCATTATTTCTTTTCATACATATAAGTTTATTAATACCTGTAACTCATTTAAGGGAAATTCAATGTCTATTTCTTCAGAAAGATCTTGAGTACTTCAGATATACTGATAAACTTCCCAAGATACAACTTCTTCTAGAATCAAAAGTTAGCCATGTCATTTAAATGGGATATATTGTGACATGCTGCTTAGTATTCAGTCAGTAAGAATCCAGGAAGTTCAAGGTATACAAAACGTGTTGAAAATCTCTTAATTTTGGAACTAAAAATGTAATGCTGAAGGGTTAAAAGAAGCCTATTTGTAATAGGGCTCTCTGTGTAAATATTTATGTGTTATTCATTACTGTGGAAAGTTTTCAATGTTATTAACCTGCGTCTAATTTAATACTGAGTAGATCTGATCAGTCTCTCAGCATTTTTGTGTTCAAAAGAGACCTGAGAAGATAATCACAGAAATATTTCAGTAATTAGTAGGATTCGGGAAACCCTATACAGTGCAAGCATCAGTTATAATACTCCATTCTGGATTTTTAGAACTTCTGAATTGGACAGAAAAAATAACATTAGCTCCCTAGACAATGAACAGCATAAGCTGCCCCAGAAACCTGTGTCAAGGGGGAAAAAAAAAAATCCTTTTCCCTTCTCCTCTTCTACCTACTGTTAAAGGAAAATTCAGTGCAAAGTAGTCTGATCGTCAATTAGCACAAGCAGACGTAGGTTCTTGGAACTATGTCACATTAATATTAAACTGGCTGGCTTATTTTGTAGGCTTGTGGGTTGGTTTGTGGTTTTTTGTTCTGGTTTGTTTTTTTTCAGAACAGTAATTTTGTATATTGTGAATAAAGCCAAGTTTATGTGATCAGACAATGGGGATTCCAAAATTGGAGGCTCCAGGAAGAGCACTGAACCTATAGAGGTCATAGTTGCACACTGCTTGTGACTTGAGTGATTTTACTTCCCCACGAAAAAAATACTTTCTTAAAAGAAATTTTAAAGAAATTAAATTTAAGATACAGTTCTAGTTAAACAAAACCTAATTACATAAATTAAAATGCAAACAGGAACATCAGTCTTGTAATTCCTAAAATTACCATCTAAGGTTACGCAGACATATAAAACTGTAATTGCTGTTGTGGTGTATAAATGATATATGTGAACATAAAGCATTAGCCTTTTTTTCCCCTATGGTTTGAAATAGTGTCATTTGTTTTGCAGCTTCGACAGCTGTCACGAGTAAACCATCCCAATATTGTCAAGTTATATGGAGCCTGTCTAAACCCAGTAAGTTATAGCTTTGTCAGTATGACAAAAGGTGACTAACTAAACATATTGCAAGCATCAATGTACAAAATATCTATTTTATATAGAAAAATGTATATTTTTATATATACTTTTTTTATACATGTAGTTAGCCATAATAAGGAAATATAAACATATGTAGGCTGGTTGATATTTTCAAGTTTTTGTTTCTTCTTTCCCTGGCTATGAGAAAGAAATTATTTCAAGAAAACCCCAAAGCTATTTCTAAACACCGATTATACGTCAGTTTGTCAGAATGGCATCTGGTGTATTGCGTATGTAATGCCATTCATATCTGCAGTCCTATTAATTGTAGATCAGCAATATGAAAAGAAAATATGTTAGCAACACGTGATTCATAGCTTGTAAATCAGTTCCTATTCTCATATATGCAGTTTTCAGGATTTGCTTGCTTTCTGCCACAGCTGCAAACAGTCCCACAAATTCTCAAAGCCAAAAAGCAAGTACTGTGACAGGACAGATGTATCCTTAGCTAAATTCTAGTATGGGCTATTTAATTGGTTAAAATAACGTTTCATCCCTTTTTCCTTAGTACTAGTGAAATTCTTTTGTAAGTCACTAGAAAAAAAAAGGAAAGGCAAATGAATTGCTGTTTGAAGACAGCATTTGCTTTTCAAGACTGGGGGGGGAGGTCATTCTTTTCTTTCGTAACTTAGAGTGGGAACTAAGCATAAAACTAATTTCTGTTTCTTATATGTAAATATGTGCTATTCAAACTGACTGTTTACCTCATAAATAAATTTTCCGTTAGCTTAGGTATGGAAGACTTTGCAGTTCCTCTCAAAGAACTTTCAGTTTACAAAGGCTGTTTTCCACCCCTTTGTTTAAAAGATCCCTTTTTTCTTTGTCCCCTCTGCCCCCAAAGGTGTGTCTTGTTATGGAGTATGCTGAAGGAGGTTCCCTGTACAATGGTGAGTATCATTTCAACATAGTGTCTTCCTGGAGCTCAAGTGCTAGTGTTAGGGAAAACATGATCTAAACTGCAAAGCTGTTTCATACATACGTCTCCATTCTTGGAGATACTCAGAAGCCACCTGGACGCAGTTCTGGGCAACCCGCTGTAGGTGGCCTGCTTGACCTTGCTTGCTGGACCTCCAGAGGTCCCTTCTAACCCCAGCCGTTCTGTGGTTATTTGAAATTCTTAAAAATAATTTTAAGGAGAAAGGAGTGTACCTTTAAGAAACACTTTTCAGTCCATTGGTTTGTTTCTTGATATCAGTTTGTTATATTTTATACAAGGCATTAAAGGTTTTCCAGTGGAACATCTGAAAAGATTCTTCCTTAACTTGTAAATGCCCTGAGCATTTGTTTAACATAGACTTTACCAGGGATAGCTGAGAACAAGCAACACCTTTCGTATTGAATTTTAACATGAACAATTATGAAAAACATACTAAAGAATGGAAAACATTTTGACATTTCCATTAGTTTAACCATCTGCAGAAGGATGTTTTCAGTTGCAGTGATGAGGCATTGACAATTACTTAGATGCCATTGAGCTTTCTGACTGGTATGTTGTTAACTCCATTGTATCTGTTGTAATATGCAATAAAGTTCTTTTTAGTTTGTGCCTTTGTTTTGCAGTGCTGCATGGTGCTGAACCTCTGCCTCATTATACTGCTGCACATGCCATGAGTTGGTGTTTACAGTGTTCCCAAGGAGTGGCATATCTCCACAGCATGAAACCAAAGGCTCTAATTCACAGAGACCTGAAACCACCAAAGTAGGTTTATGGCTCATATTTCATATTATTTTTGCAATTGGAATTTAAGATAATTTCTAGTAATTTCATTGCATTTGAAAGAAATACCTATATTGATACTAACTTTATTGGATGTACCATATTCTAAATGAAAGCTGTGCATTTGAAACTTACAGAAGGATGGTGCATGGTACCGGAAAAGAAGTGTACTTAGTTACTTTCTGTTAAACTGGAAAAATATCCTGCCTTTGCCCTGCATCATGGAAGAGGATTTTGATAGGGATTGGGCTTCTTGTCAGAGGCATTTAAAATGCCCCAATTTTACAGTGGGTTGTGGTGTTCAGTAAGAGGATGTTAGGCTGGGGGTGTTGTTTAGTTGCTTGGTTTTAACATCATATTTAATCTGATATGTTAGAGCTCTTTCCTGACATGGCCATCCTCCTCTGCCCTCCTCTTCTGCCTGTTCCACTACCCCTGCCAGAATCACCCATCACTTTCCACTGAAACAAAAATGAATAGTTTTCTGCTCAGTCAGTTTGTTGATCTGACTCATTTTACAGCTTCAGATATGACTCCGCAGATTAGGTGGAAACACAGATTTGGGGATCAGCAGGATCATCCTCCTTTTGGTGGTAGCCTGCAGTTACTACCAGATAAAATTACAACGTGAAGCCACACTTTAAATCTTGAATTCTTTCTGGTATCCTCAGTTTTGATTTAGAGAGCTGTTAACATGTAACTTTGAGTGCTTTCGTTTAAATAAATAGCTGAGTTGACTGACATTAATGGGAGTCTTGATCGTTCTTCTTTTGGTAAAATTATTACAGCACTTCTTGTTTTTCAGCCTCTGGCACCTGAAAGACTGATTTTGTCTATATAGACAAAATGCTTAGTGATTTACTATGGCTAAAGTTATTTATTTAAAACCTAGCATGTAGAAATATTAATAAATCACAATATATATTTGATTATTTAAAATATTTCATATGTTTATTAGGCATAGGTGATTTTACTTTTTTCTCAAATTATAAAACCTAAGGCACTGAGAAGCGAAGCCTTAGATACTCAACTATATTAGAATGATAGTTGTTGGGGTAAAAAAAAAACATGGTTTATTAACAGACTATTTCATCCTACAATTTCAATTATTTTTTTTCTTTGACAGTTTGCTCTTGGTAGCTGGGGGGACAGTTCTAAAAATCTGTGATTTTGGTACAGCCTGTGATATTCAAACACACATGACCAACAATAAGGGAAGTGCTGCTTGGATGGCCCCTGAAGTTTTTGAAGGTAACAATAATCTACGGTGTCAATATTATGTGTTCTTTCTAGGGACGCAAGAGTGAATGGAGTTGATGTAGCAAATAAGAGCATCATGTAGCCTTACTTTATTTCAATCAATATATATTCAAGTTTGACGTAACAACTGAAAGAGTCTTGGCAGAATTCTAACATTTGTTTAAAAATCTGTATGATTGCATATTGCCAAATAATTATGCAGCGTTTCAAAGAGCAGCACTGAACTGACTCTATCATGTTAGTATTAGACAGCTAATTACTTGAAGAGTGGAACCTTTATTTGTGTCATTGTGGAGATGTACATAAGGAGTACCTTTAGACGCTGTTTCTTCTTTTATAAGCAAAACACAGCCAGAGGACTGTTTCCCCAGGATTGTGCTGTTTCCGAGATTCTTAAGTACTTTCAAACTCCTCTGACATTTAAATACACTGTCATTACTTTCACTCTCTATTCTGATCAGCTTTTATCTTTAGAATTTCCCTGTTAGTGTCTCTGAATTGAACATAATTGCCTTCATTTTCAGTCCCCCACTTTCGTGTAACTCCATCTTCATCTGCTTTTTGTGTAATCTAGAGATTTTATGTACTTCCTCTTTCCTAAATACCGAAGAACTTGTTATTAACAGTTAACTCAGTTAAGTAGGAAAACAGGCTATTTCTTGGAGTGTAGCTGGGGAAGACTGATGACACTTGATAATTAGATAGGTATAATTGCTGCATGATAATCAGAGAATTAATCCCATCAATATTAGATTATAGATTAAACACCTTTTAAGCCAGTCAGTACCTTAAATTATCATTGCGATGAGCAGAGTGGTCTGGAGAAGACATCTTCCTGCTTTAGGAAGCAGGTGTCCCGGTTTTGATATACTTGGCAAGTGCCTAGCTGCTGCAGTGGTTTCACAGATTCTGGGTCCAAGTGACCTCTTTTCTTTTACTGTCCTTATTCCAGAGAGGAGCAGGAAAGTATTATATATATGTCCATTATACATTTTTAGGAGGTGTTTCCTCCCAAACGCTACCTTTGGAGCTTTTGTTTTGAAGGTACCTTTTTCTCCCACATGATTGCATAGAGAACCCACCCAAGGGTGATGTGTTTCATTCTGGTGCCTAAAAATTTTCCATTATATCACTTTATATTGAGGTACCTACTGTATTTCTTTAAGTCTACCTAGGAATGTTTCTTTTCTGTTTGCTATTAAATGAAATTTTATAAACTTGTTTTAGAAATAATCAGCTGGACAAGCCATGTTAAAGCTAGATTTTTTTGGAGTGAAAAATCTTAATTGAAACCAGATTTTTGAAATAAGTATACTGTAGTAGGGATTTACAGCGCATATCCTAATCCCTCTGGTGTATGAATTCAGCAAGGCAGAACAAAGAAATCTTGTACTGCAGATTTATTGTTGGACAGCAGCAAAAGCCTTCAGTTTACAGTTGGTTTTATGTACTTTTATCTGAAAGCATTTACACAAGTACCCAGGAAAGAAAGGAATCTAGTAGCTTCTATGATGCAGCATGTTAAACTACTCTTGAAACAGTCATTAAACTACTAAAATTATCATGTCAAATGTCAAAATTGTTAAAAATTTGTTTGCTTATGTTACTGCATCAGAATTCAACAGTGGAATAAACGCTAATGTTATTTTAGTACTGTTCTAGTACTAATTTTTTTAGATAACAACAATAAAGGCACAAGAAGTATCTGTTGTACATGGCAGAGTGCTCATTTAAGTACTTGCCCTAATGTTAAGATTTCACTCCCTCATTAACCATTAGGGCGCCTACAACCGTGTATATATCAATCAATCTAAATGAAAATAGTATCATTTAGGTCAGGATAAAGTGAAAGAGAGCAAATGCTCTAATCTCAGAACTCCTCTTTAGAAGAAACTATTTTAAAATAATTGCTTTGGGAGAGTTGGATAAATGGAGGAACGATTGTGTCTGTTATCCTACCTTCCTCTGTTACATAAAGAAACAACACAGGATACTCACTTCTTTTGGACTCTCAGTATCGGAATTAGTCCAAGGCTTCTCAGTCACAAAATAGAATTTCCTTGCTCGAACAGGAGAATAACACTGCTTCCATGTCATAGGCTGTGTTTTCACAGAAGTGCTGTGGCTGCATAGGATGAGAAAGACTCTTTTGCTTCCCTTACCAATCTGCCATTGTTAACGGATACCCTTTTTCCCAGCACCTTTGAAAATAAGCTGACTGATAAAGCCGCCTTCTTTTATTCTCCTTCAGTAACTTTTGAACTCATTAGCCACAATCAGCTACTCTGATACAGATGTATAAAGCTTTGAAGATGCCAAGTTCTTGAAGAGTTTTGTAAAATCAGTAGCGGGGAGCAGTCCAAATTAGTGCCTTCACTTAGAGAGGACTTGTGATTCTTGCTGCAGCCTATCTGTCCTGTTTGGCTTGCAAACTGGCTGGTCTGCAAGAACTGTTCTATGATTCTAACTGGCCTGAGAGCCTGCTGCTTTCCTTGCACCGTTTGTCAGAGGTATGGATCCTGAGGAAGATGGCTCATAGGCAGTGGAGCCTATTGCAACTGGATGTTACACAGTGGGTATCCACATGAAACTAGGCTTCTTGATTTCCACTACTTATGGTATGATTTGTTTCAATGATGCTTTCTGATTATGTATTAGCAAAAACATGTCTTGGCCACTCGATGCCAATTTTGATCCTTGTTTGAAGACAGACGAGTCTATTATTTATGTTCACACATTTATTATGTCATTAGCCATTCACATTTCTTTTTAGTATGTGCATGAGTTATGGTTACAGAGCATACATTCTTTCTTTGCAGGCTCTGAACATTTTTATTCATTATTCCATATCACCTATGTGTCTTCTACACCTTTAACAGGAGTTTCAGAAATATTGAACTTATGGTCAAAGAACTTTAATTAATGACATGTCAAAAAGAGTAAGAATAATAAACAGGGAGGAAATATGAGGAATTGAGGAATCTGCCTATTTGTTCATATGGTAACTTACTAGTTCTGCTGAAGACCTGTAATTAATAAAGAGCAATGGGTATGACAGAGATGTAACTGGCTGGCATATTATGACTAACATGGAAGAAGTGAGTTGAAAAAGAACATTTAAAGGAAACAAGCATAGTCAGTTAAACCCTAGATGCAAGAGATCTTTGAAACTTAATAAATTACACTTTATATAATATAAGAAAACTGACGCATTTTATCATTTCAGGATGACTCCAAGTGAAAAGGATTGACTTCCAGAGGGAAATCTTAGTATGTCATACTGTCAAATGATTTCAGACTTAAGTTAGCGTGAATCAGCCAGCTTTAGAAAACTGTTTTTTCTCAATAAAACAAATGTGAAGAGAAAGGAAGCATATAGAGCTATTTATCAGCTCAAACTGTACTTATTTTTAACGTGTTATATAGAAGAGAGACAAATTATATTGGTGGCTTTCTTCCAGGTAGCAATTACAGCGAAAAATGTGACGTTTTCAGTTGGGGTATTATTCTCTGGGAGGTAATCACCCGTAGGAAACCTTTTGATGAGATTGGTGGTCCAGCTTTCCGCATAATGTGGGCAGTTCACAATGGTGAGTTGAAAATACTTTATTGCATTTGAAGTTTTGTATCTGACCTATAAATTTTCTAAACACTCTGAACTGTGTAGTTTTAAATCAGTTTTTTTTTTTTTTTTTCATTTTATACGCCATTAAATATGCATTTTTGGCATAAAGACTTAATACCACTTTTGTGTCAGTCTATTTTTTGTGTTACTCGGGTGCTACAGTCCTTGCATTTCCCACTACATGTAACTAGCATATGAACAAACTAGGGAAAAGAACTGTGTTCTTCTTGTTATGACACCCCATTTTAAAAGTTACCTGTGTGGTACAAAAAAAAAACCCTGTCTGAATGAATGACAACTTGATTAGCCAAGTTGTATTAATATTCTTGTTGTTGTTGTTATTAAGTGTATACATTAAATGTGTGATTTAAGTGACTTGACCCGTCTTTAGAAATGCTAGAAACTGTCAAACTCCTGCAGGACCATTAGACATTAAAAGCGTTACTTTGTTTTTCATCTGGGGTTTTTTTGTTCTGCTGTTTGAATTGTGTTATCTTTACATCTAGGTACTTGCAATCATGCAGCAGGACTCTACTGTGCTAGGTAATATACAGAACAGCTTCTCAGGAGCTTAGAATATAAACAGGAGACAATGGTTGGATTCAAATGGACAAAAGAAAGTAGTGGTATAATGTTGGTCAGAATAACAGACTGTAGTATCTTCATGCTAGTGGTATAACTTTTTTAACAGTGTGTTTTTAGGTACCATGGCAAAGCAGAGTTTTAAGAAGAATAAAGTAATGATAGTGAAGTAGTTCAGTGAATGTCTGCAAAGAGTTTCTGCTATTTGTGAAAGACAACATCAAAGAAAGCATGAACTTGTTTGGAAGATGTAATTAACAAACAAACAATGAAGGCCGATACTCTGCCTGAGTGTCATTGCTTCAGTACTAAAAGATAGAAGCTTAAGGTGAGCACAGGCATCCTGTTTGATGAAGAAGAGAAAGGGGCAGACAGTGATAGGATGGATGAGCATTATAGTCATAATAATGCACAAAGAAGAATGTTTGCAGATAGCGTTTTTTAATGAAGAAATTGATTCTCCATTTCAGTTTTTCAAGGACACAAGTCATTGAGATTGCGAGTGATGAGTGCCTTGCATAAAAGCATTAACTGTAAAAGTAAGCATAAATGTAATAGCCATAAACCAGAACGCTTCAGTAAGGTGCGGAAGTATTCTTTAGAGGAAGACAAATTCTCTATCTGTCACTACTTTTGCTTTAAAAACTTCTCTTTTTTTTCTTTTTCTTTCCCCTCCACCCCCTTTCCTTTTTAGGAAGGAAGTGTTAGTGTGCTTCATCTTACTTGAAACCACTGTGGCACTCTTACTTCATGTATTACTTGTTATAGTTAATACATTTTTAAATACTTGCTGTTTTCTTTGCAAAACGTCACTACATCTCCTGTATTAAACACAACTGAATGTTCATTAATTGTAATCATTGTTGAAATAGTAAATAGAGTAGAAACTTGAACCAGAAAGAGCTGAGTAGTGATATAACAGTTGAAGTAAAATACATAAATAAAAATGTTTATAAACCATAAAAAAGTCACTTGAAATTGATACTTCCAGTGCTTAATAATTTTTCAGGAAATCCTTAAGAGCAAAATCAGCCCTCAAAATGACTTTTTTTTTTCTTTTTTTTTCTTTTTTTTTTTCCTTTCAAGTACAAGATTAGGAATCAAAGACTCTTACTACTTGCCTTCCTAGTTTGGACTAGAGCTTTATTCTTCAGAAAGTGGTAACATACTCATTAGCCATTGCAGTATGTTGTGAATTTATTCAAACCACTACTGAAGAAAGAGTTTCATTTTCTTTCTACTTGTTTGTATGTACTTGTAACTTGTATGTAGTGCAAAGGAACTTTTCTGTCAGTTTTTTGTTTGTAAGAGAAAAAATTAAGTACAGGCCAGTTCTTTCAGACTAGAATTAACTATACGTTTTCCTGTATTTATTTAGCAAAATACTGGAGAGAGATCAGTCGCTGTCAGTTGACTTAGTCTGCTTAACAAATTAAGGGGTTTTTTCTAATTTCAATTACAGGTACTCGGCCACCACTGATCAAAAACTTACCTAAACCAATCGAGAGTTTAATGACCCGTTGTTGGTCCAAGGATCCCTCGCAACGACCCTCCATGGAGGAAATTGTTAAAATAATGACACACTTGATGCGGGTATAAAAATCTATTTTAGTATCATAATCATTTCTTAACCTATTACATTGGGAAACTGCATTACAGAAGGTATGCCTTTTATCACACTCTAAAGGTGGGCTTGCATATTTTCTCTCCCCTCCCTCTTTTTGATAAAAACTATCAAATTATTACAGTAGAAAAGGAAAATGATTCCTCTCCTCATGGGAGAGGTATAATAACTCATAACAAATTTGGGGAAATTAATAAAAATAGTCATATATGTATTTTAATATATTACTAAAGTAAAACTGCATTTACTTCTACATAAATTATTATAAATGTAATATATAATTTATATCTATTTTATGAGGTACTAGTTAAATAATTTTAAAACAATTGTTAATTACTTTTTTTAATCAAATCATTGCTGCTTTTTCACAGTACTTTCCAGGAGCTGATGAACCTCTGCAGTATCCTTGCCAGTATTCAGATGAAGGCCAAAGCAACTCTGCCACTAGTACAGGTACACTTGTATAAGTAAGAGAAAAGAACAGCAACATGAAATGATGCAGATGGATTATAAAGCACATTCTCATAGTGACTTTTGAACTCAAATTGGGAAAGGCATCCTTTCCAAAATCTTGGCAGGAATCTAGTTTTTTGGTAAGACCTCATACCACATCACATTTAGTGTTCTCAGCCAAATGGTTTTGCTGCAGCGTACCTTTTAACGGAGAACAAGCATATAATAAAAGCTATCTTAAAATGTCCAAGTTTAGGGTCTCCTCCTTTTTCTCCCAGGAAGGTTGCTAGCAATTGACACTCTTTCACTCATATGTAATATTTAGGAGTTGGCATTTTTAAATTTTTGGCTGCTCTTGAAATGTGCACCTGCTCTCAGTTATGATCTCCACAATTTAAACTTGCAGTTGTTTTTTGTTACAATGCAGTAAATACAGTAATTTAAATTTAGTGGAAGTAAATCACTAGAAAGGTAAGTGGAACAAAATGGGGGCTAGGCTTTCAGGTGGTCTTGCCCTCAGATAAATCCTTTTAATAATAGAAAATAAAGATTGTTTGGTCTTCTCATTTTTTTGAGTACAGTTTTCCCACTTCAGTTGTTTTTAATCTTGGGTGTCTTCACCTTCCACTGCTTGGCTGGTTTGTTTTCTATCTCCAAACAGATTGCTGTTATTTTGGATAATGCTTCCTTGGCTACTTTGCAACTTAGTGACCTGTAAATTATAATATAAGTCTACGCCAACAAATTCAGAGCAAGCTAAAGATTGACTTCAGAATATCATCTTAGTACTTAGTCGTGTATTCTGTCTTTTTTCCTTCCTTTTACTTTTTACATTCATGGATCTGTTGCAATCTTGCAGCTTGCCTTTCATTAAAAGTTTTCAAGAGTCTTTAAAGCAAAGTTAGGTTTCTGAAAATGCTCAGGTGAAAAGATGCACTTTAGTATTTGTAATGGAAATTCTCAAATATTTTTCCTTGTCATTGATCTCCAGGTTCATTCATGGACATTACTTCTACAAATACAAGTAACAAGAGCGATGCTAACATGGAACCAAGTGACTTCCAAGGAGCTTCTACCAATGACACTATTAAACGTTTAGAGTCAAAATTGGCACAGCAAATGAAAAATACAGCCAAGCAGCCGGTAAGCAAACGTGCGATTTTGAACCATAATAATGACATGGACAAAGATGGACACAAGTGTAACTGCTATAAAACATTAGTGTCTTCTTTCAAAAATAGTACAAGACTGGAGCCAGTTAGTTACAGTAAAAGAACATGAAAGGGAATGGAAAAATACTGAATGTTTCCAAAAAGGTAAACTGCAAGGCTCTAATAAGATCTCCAATGGAATGAAAAAATAATTCATTTTATTTAAAGGGATTCATTAGGTTAAAAAAAAAATTTAAAATTGTTGCCTTAATTTAGAACCAATATATTAGTTTGACATGAAAGGATTAAACTTTTATTTGAATTTTGAAAAGACTATGTTTAATTTCAAGTAGGATGAAAAAATACAAAGATTCTCTTGTGACAATATTGGGCTAATTCTACTCAATTTTTATCTGTGTAAAGTTAGATTCTTTTGAAAGTTGCAGATATTTGGTCCGTGTATGCCAATAATAGCTAAACTATTACCATTTCTTAAACTACAAATTTTAAACCCTGTCACATTTAAAATGCACATTATAGAGATATATTTTAACCTACATACTGAGCATATCATGGAGGGGCATCTGCAGAAATCTTTTTCTTTTTAAAAATGTGACTGTTGTAACAGGGTGATCCTGGCCGATTGAGTTTACCTCCATCTCGTGGGAGCAGTGTGGAGAGCTTGTCAGATGTTCGTGCGCGACCACAGTCAGCCCTTGTTTCAGGAGAAGCCAAAAGGATGAGTGCTGACATGTCTGAAATAGAAGCAAGAATAGCTTCCATCACAGGTAACATTAAAGGATGTTTGGGGAATAGAGTAAGGAACTGGAAGGAAGGAAAGGAGGAAGGAAGAAGTAAAATATGCATAGTCTTACAGAAGGCTAATATAATTAGCTGTATGAAAACACTATTAACTTTTCATGTAGTCTTTATTGCCCTTTAACTGTGGGGGAAGATGGCTTCATTCATGCTTCTATGCTCAACAAGGTTGAGTATTTTACTTGGGTACTTTTAAGGTTGCAGAAGAGATTACTTCTGTTGAATTAGACTTTTACCTTTTTAAAAAAATCATTGAGCCTTCTAAATATTAGTCCTATTCCAAATGCACAACTTTCTCCTTTGCATCTGAAATAATGTTACTTCATCTCTGCTAGCATAATTATTTCTAAAATAACATTTCTTTCAAGGTTACTCCTATAGTACTTTGAAATTGAGAAGTCGTTTTAAAGTTCAGCACGTTCCCAAATAGGTTTTAAAATCCAGTTTGACAGATTTCAGAAAGAGAAACATACTCAGAATTTATTCATCAGATTAACAAAGCATTGGTATCTTCTGTTAAAAAAAAAAAAAAGCTACAGGTGTTTTGCCAGGTTTGCTTCAGGTAGCTATAAACTGTTGTGTCTAAACATTGAATCCTTGAGTGAATTGGAATTTATGTGTAAGTATAAATACATAATTTTATGGTGAGAGCAAACTTTATTCTTCACAGAAGAGCAAATTAATAAAAACGTGTATACTTGGCAAAAATTTTCTTGTCTCTTTTCTTCATCAAAGATAATGTTTGTTAATCTATGCAACTTCAGTTTTTAGGTTTCGTATGTGAGACTTGTTTTTGTTCTGGTATATAACCACAGATTTAAATAATCAGACAAAATTACTTTGGTTAGTCCACGGTTATTTAGCTGTCCTAGTGTTCTTCTAGAAATCTGAAAATTAGGTGTAATTTATAAGGAAATATGCATATATTATGGCTTTCTTGTGCACCATTACTACTTCGTTTTTGTTCTTCATTGTGTTATGATTACTCCAGGATCTTGTTTTGCTAAATACTGAAGATACTCATGAAATAATATTTATCTTGCCCTAAACACTTTTTACATTTACATTCTTATTTTAAAGCCTTATTCCAAGATTTGTCTTTCGTATTGTCAGTCTTTGACTGGATGATTGTGTAGCACATCTCACCCTGAGTATTTCTAAAGGTTTCCTAACACAGAAGGCAGCTGTGTACTTACCTGATAATAACAACATGCTGGTTTTATTTTAAAATCTGTCAGGACTCACTTTGGTCACTGACACTCTAAAGTCAATGTTAAGTTTTTGACATTAGTGGCCATAACTCTGGCTCTCCTTTGTGTGAGCTTTTAATTTTCCTGGTTTGTCTTCCTTAAGTACATTGCTTTGAACAGTAATTATTATTTCAGAATATTCTAAGGGTTTTTTTGTTGTTGTTTTGTTACGAGTGTAGGTTTTCTTTTTCTTGTTTATATTGAACATACTAGTTATTTTTTTAAGAAATCACTTCAGGCAATAGTAGACTACCAGAAATGAGGTCAAATCCATCTGACCATAACTTTTTCAAAAAGAGCTGGAACAGCCCTGTATTGGTTTGGCTTTGTTTTTTAATCTTGTTAACTGTGTGACAGAAATAATACGCTGTGAACCTGAAAAAAAATGTGTGGCTGGGTGAGAATTGGGCTGTTGTTAAGAGTAAATCAGGTCAAGAATTATTTAATCTTCTTGTTCCATCTATCACTAGATTAAGTGTAAGAGTAAATCACATAATGCACGTCAGCATTACTTATTACGTTTGAGATGGATATGCTGCAGTATTATACCTTTGGGAGATGTATGCAGACTTCTGTAAATGGGAACTCTTTATCTTAAACTGCACAAGTAGTAAAATAAAAATAAAAATGTATGATTAGATTTTATTCCAAAGTATGTAATGTTTCTTGAACATCATTCAGAAGTGAAAAGGTTGGTAGTGATACCCAGTTCGCAAAACAAAAAATCTTCATTAATAGGACAAAAGAATGCAAAGGCAGGAATGATTGTCAAACAGAGTAAGAGTAAGCATTTTTTCAGACACAGGTGAGAGTTCCTTTAAGAGGATGTGATTTAAAGAAACAGAAGTACCCAACTATTAATCTTGTTTATAAAATAGTTTGTAACCAACAGTAAAGAGAAAATGTTATGTAAGTTCAGGCAATCAAGAATTCGTTCTGAAGATACAGTTGATCTGAAATTATTTTATTTGTTCTCTGTTTGGATAATTACATTTGGTTTTCCCTTCCTTGTTGCCATGCTGCTTTCTGTGTTTGACTTTTGTGTTGCTAACTATAACTAATTACACGGTGTTGTAATGACGGCTAGTTCTGCATTTTTTGCTTTTTAACAGTTGCTTTACTATGTGTAAGCATGAGTGGAAGGCAATGCAGTTTATTCTGCATGACACATTTTTGCATGAACTGTAGTTTAACCAGGTTTATGAAAAATGCAGTATTAGGAATTTAATAATTTTGCTATTGCCATTTTAGTGTTTTGCATGTGTATTGTATATGTGTATTTTTTCAGCCTATTCCAAGCCTAAACGAGGCCATCGTAAAACTGCTTCATTTGGCAACATTCTGGATGTCCCTGAGATCATCATACCAGGTATCGCAGACCAGGTGAACGGGTCAGTTGGTTAAGATGCTGGAATAATGATCAGACTGCTAAAAATACTTCTTGCTCCAGTTGCGCTAGGACAGAACTAGAAATTACCCCAATAATTTTTTAATAATGTCTCTATAGAGAGGAGCACGATATTTTAGTACAAACTTGCTTTTATCAGTAAAGGATTGGATCTTCCAGATCATATTTACATTTCCTGATTTAAAAAATCAGGCACCATAGCTGGTAGTTTCAGTTGGGACTATAATGAATAATTCTCATCTATCCCAAGTCTATATTTAGTAACATATCTTTTTCCTTTCCCATGTTGTTTTTTGCATCCAAAGTGGATTTCTCTCTTTCATTACATATTGTTCAAAGCCTACAAATAAGTATAACCAACCCCAAGCTGCGATAGGTATATCATTAGCGGCATCTAAGTTCCAGAAATGATTCGTCAGAGGCAGGAGATGCAAGTAGTAGTATATACTGCTAGTCTAGAGATCCATTAAAATCTGTGGACCCCCTACTCTAATTTTGTGTCCTTTGAGGAAGTTGCCTGTTAAATCTTGAGATTGTTTGGTATTTTAAAGTTGAATGCAAAAGATAGTTTTGTACTGAAGTTTCTTTCAAATAACTTTATTGACATTTACATATAAAAATACAGAATGCCAAACAGTAGATTCCAAAGAACAGTAGCACTATCCGTGGAAAGAAAACCTATTTGGCATTGGGACTAACAAATCAGCAAGAAAGTATACTTAGTGTGGCTTTGCACTGCAATTTGCAAATTGCCTGGCCTGCCATGACAGAAAAGAAATCCTGAGAGAGCAAGGGAAGAGAAAGTGGTCTGTCACATTTTGCCGTATTGGCATGTGTTGGGAGCCTGGTAAATAAGCTCTTGAAGCTAACTGGGCACCTCTTGTCTGTGCAGGCTGCATGTAACAGCGCATGAGACTTCCAAGAAGCCTTAAAACCTTTAGAGAATAATTTAAAAAGTCAGTGAAATAAAATGCCATGTGGTTTTCCCAAAATAGTTTGTACCGATCTATTGGGTTTACTTATTTAGGCAGAGGAAGTCAATTAGATATTCTTTACCTGGACTGTTTTAATTGCATTTGACAGGATGGGAATTCTAAGGTGAATTTGGAATAGACACGAGAAATAGCAACCCATAGAAATGAAAGAAGGTAAAGGATTGTAGCAAGCATATGGATTCATTTTGTCAAAGTTTATTTTTAAAGTATTTAAGTCTTAAATGAGGGATAATGAAATTCACTGTTAATTCTTTATCAGGAGCAGCTTATTAATTAAGAAGAGGATTAGACTCTCACATAAGGTCAATTATGTTGTGACTGGGGGTAAAAAAAAAAATAAAATAGAAAACAGGTAAAATCCAGGGTCATACACTGCAGGTCATACACTAGCAACAATTTCTTTTAGTAAGGTGAGAGCTCATTAGTGGAAATGACTGCAAAGGACCATAGCAGATACAGGCAGATTAATGCCACGTAGCATAAGCCACTAATGTGAGGCAGTTGTGAAAAACTATGTGAAATTTTAAGTTTTGTTTCCAGAGGTGTGTTTCCAGGAAAGATAAGAAAGCACTAATGCTATTTTACAGGCCCTCATTGAAGTTTAATCAGGAATTCAATGTACTGTTCTGGGCAGCTGTATAAAAGAAATACACATGCACTCTGAACAGCAAGAAGAGCTACTAGGACGGTATGGAGAGTATGAAGAAGAAAGCATGGGGGTTTTTAGCCCACAAACTGAAAGCTGAGAAATTAATAATTATTTTCTATAGATTAATCTGCAGCTAAAAACTAGGAAAAGAGAACTACTTAAGCTAAAAGGCAGTATTGGCACTACAGAAAAAAGATGTAAATTGTCTGCGAGTAAGTCTGGGCTGTATGTTAAAAGCTTTCTGGTTGTCAGAACAGCTTTCCCATTACAGTAAAAACATTACAGTAAAAAAGAGATTAATTGTTACGTGACAGGGATGTGATCATTTGCCCAGTAGACTAATTATATTTATCTATATACTTAAAGCAGTTATTCAAAAGTACCTTGCTCAGTTAGTCTTTTAAAGACAATATAGCATCATCTGTTTCTCACCTCTTCCCTTTCCTTACTCTCTCAGCACAAGGCTTTTTGTCCTGGCCTTTTAACACCCTTTTCCCCTTCTAGTTATACTTCCAGGATCCCCAAACTGGCACCTCCATCTCGATCCCACGCCGTTACGTTCCGTAGCACTTCTGCCACGTACCCGGCTCCTCCGAACCTCCCTGGGCACGTCCGGCGCGGGGGCGTGCGGCCCGCCGCCGTCCCCGGCTGTGCCGCTGCTGCCCGAGGTTCTGCTGAGCACATGGTAAAGCAGCTGCTTCCCAGCGAGGGGAGGCGCCAGGCAGGCATGTTACCATGAGTCAGCTGCTTTGGGGCAGGGCTATTTTGGAAGTGTGAGTACTACATCTGCTATCGCTGGGGTTTTTCGTAATGTGTTGCCTCGGCTGCTTCTCATCCGTGAACTGATTATGCTACTGAGGTCGTAAAATACAAGTTTTTATCAGTTGAAGGTAAAATGTTGGCAGAACTTGGAAGTTTTTAGTATATATTTGCTCTTCTTTCTGACTAGCTTTAAATAAGGGCGGATAGATTTTTCTTTCGTTTAAGATGTTATTTTTTGTAACTAGCTTACAAAACTTAGAAACCAAAAAATGGATTGACTAATTCCTTTTCGGTGTAACAACTTGGCAAATGAGTTTTCAGCGGTGGTATCCTGCAACCAGATAGCCAAGTGTGAATTAGCAATATTTTTTTTTTATTTATAGTGTAGGTAGTTAATGGTATAGATAATAACGGACCAACATTTTATACATATATATGAAAAATAAAACCCTAGTAAATACAAGAGGCTTAAGTAGCTGTATGTTTAAAGAAATAAAAGAAAAAAATCTAAGACTAGTTTGTAAAATAATCAAGAAAAATATTCAGAACACCTTTTCAGTACAAACCAGTCAAGCAGCATCTAGCAAATATACCTTCAAGTACAGCCTTTTCTTCACTGGCAACGTTACACATCTCATGCATATATAGCATGCATGCATTTGACTTTGTAATTTTGTCATCTGAAACTGTGCCACAGCGTTAATGTTTTTATAGCATTGACACTGCATAAGTGATTACTCGGGATAGACAAATTTTGTTCAGTGTCTTTAGAAAGTACGCAGGAATTGTAGATGCTTTAGGTCTGTGATTTTTTCCATCTACTTTTAAAACCAATATAAGCCAGAAGCCCCACCCTTGTCTCCCCAGATCACTTCATTCTTCTGGAATTCAGATCAGTGTTTTAACGTCTTCAAAATGTCTTCTACCACTGTTACACTTACTGATCATCCTGTGCTGGGAGGGCAGTTTGGGTCTCGTAGGTGTGTGAGGAACAGAGAGTACTCTGCACAAATAAGAAAGTGTAAAAGGAGACGCAAGTATCTGCTAAAGGGCAGGGAGAAGAGTTCATAGCTGGTCTGGATGTTTGGGAGGGGTGATCAAAAGCCTTAAGCTGTATTAATTTGTTTTTGCTGGAATATGTGAGGCAGCACACGGTGGAGGTTTCCTGTACCTTTTGAATTTCATTTTAGAAATAAACAACAATATGTGAAATTGTTTTTTTGAGGCCAGGAAGTATGTTTGTGATGTTTGATTTTTAATCTTAAAATCCTGTAAACCACTGAAATCCTGACATAGTGCATCAAGCTACCGTATGTCAGCTTCTGTGAATGCACACAAATCTTAGTTTTTATAATGAGAATACATCAGTTTTAAATGGACGTAGAGGTAAGAACAAGATCAAAACTGCGAAAGTGTAGAGAAGTAGCAGTGATCATTTCAAATAAAGATTGTATGTTGTATAGTATATTTTTCAATTGAAATTTGACTTGAATCTGGAGCAATAAGTATTTGTTGATTTGTAGTCTGTTTCTGCTTTGTCTAAGCTATTTGCCAGATGTCTGCAGTAGTTACACTAATTAAAATGGCATTGCCTAGTAGAGCTTGCTCTTCCCTCATGCTACTAACTTAAATATATTTCATTTAAAGGTGTTCATTTATTACAACACAGTAGTTTTGGCCCCTTTCTCTCCCCCCAAGGCATTTTCTTTTCTTTCTTGCACCCCACCCTGATTATTTTAACGTTTTGGCAGCCATGTTCTAATATTTCAGCAACACATGTGCCGGGTTCTTTAAATTCACAAATGTTGCTAATCTGAAATGAGAATTTCAGATATTTTTGCAAGCCTATTTCAGCTGAGCTAATTTTAGAACAGTGTTGTTGAATGAAACATGCCCATAATTTTGTATTGGTCATGGGTGGATCGCCCGTAACTTGAATATTGAGATGTGCACCCAGATGAATTATCCACAGTGCCAAATTCTGTTAAATGTATAATTTTGTTTGTTAAATGATTAGGTATTGAAAAATTTCACAGAAAATGAGTAAGTTCAGAAATGTTGACATAGATTTGTCATTCACACGATCTCTAATGTGGAAGTATTAAACATAATATAGCTATTGTTGCTTAGGTAAGTATATACTTTCCCTGAATTTCAGAAGAAAAAAGATCCGAGACCCCAGAAAAGTTGTAATTCAGATTCATGTGTAGTCAGAGTAAAGAATATATTCCTAATCTAGAATACTTCTTGATTTTCTGATATGCTTGTTTCTCATAGTACTTTCTATAAATCTTAGGCTATAAAATGTCGTGACAAATTGGTAAAGTGACACTGAGAATTTTGTACTGCTGTTTCGCGGTAACGTGTTCCTACATGTAATAGTACCTATATTTAAAAAATTTGAAGTATGATGCCATTAAATGTATTGATTAATATTAAATAGCCTGACATTTTTGTAGTAACTGTTGCAAATCAAAACACCTGTCAAGATAGGCTATGGAGTCACATGGAAATGATGTTGAATAAGTAGTATCTAAAAGGTTAAAAATACAGTGCCTGTTACAGGGCTCCGAGTGAGCCGGGTCGGCTGTTGCGTGCAGGGTCGCTGGGCAAGGGGCTGCCACGGCTGTAGTGGATGTTTCGGATGCTCCCCTCGAGTAGAAAAGTTACGTAACGCAGAGCTAAGACCAAGAATTTTGAGCATTGTCAGCTGTTACTCGGGACATTTCGGCGTTTCCTTTTGGACAGCTGACCTGCTCTCAAGAGACAATATAAACAATCACCGTAATAAAAATCAAAGCAGCCAGGGAGATTTCGTTGCATAATCTCCTTTTATTTTTAAGGAGACTTTGTTTCCTGGAAGTGCTTTTGATTGCGTGTCAGTGTTAAAATTTAAACTGCTTTATGTAGCTGTCACTGGTGGATAATTGCTAACAGGTGGAAGGAGAAGAGGAAAAGATTACAGCATTGTGCTCAGTAGGTTGATGGTGGGATGTGATTTAGCTGAACAGTCCCCTTTTCACACTTCTCAGAGCATGAGAATGGGACATAGTTTCGTTCATGTGAAGGAGAGAAAGACCAGAAGGAAGCGCTTTCGCCTCTTCCTTTGGGTGAGGGGAGCGGCACGCGGGCAGAAGTCCTTGCTGTGTTCCTTGAGCACTCCAAAGAGCGACAGGTTAAAGCTGGCAGCCTGTTATCTCCGCGGTCTAGCTTTTAGAAATCCCCATAACGTAACGCCCTTGAAATAGATGTCGTCATCAGCTCCTGCCCCGAGTACGAAGCCTGATCAAATACATGTGACAGAAGATGGTGGAGTAGAGTGCAGCAGCTATTCATGTGGTAGGAGTGGTTATTGTATTAGGGTATACTTTTTGTTGACAGGCCAGCATGGTTTGAGTTAAAATTCTGCAGCTGTCTCTCTCCCCCTCTCTCACTTTCTCTCTGTGGATTTGTACAAATTCCAAGCTCCTCTGTAACAGTCGCACCCTTCTTATTTTGTTCTGAATAGATTTCACTGGTTTGTTTTTGTTTTGTTTTTTTCCCAGCAGGAAACGGACAGCAGAGGCGCAGATCCATTCAAGATCTTAGTGTTGCTGGAACAGAGTCCAGTCAGGTAACATCTTTCTCTTCTTTATCTTTCAGTAAAGTCAACACCAAATCTGTACAGGGAAACTTGGTCTGGAAAACTTCACCTTTGATGCTTTCGTAGAAATGATGTGGAAGCTTGGCAGACTGTAGTGGCACTTGTATTGCTTTTAAATTACATTCCATGAGGGTAGGTAGTCTATGAATGAGCTGTAGATGAGAAGTGTTTTCTGTATAGCTCGTGCAGCATTTATCACTTTTACTTACACATAAGTTTTTGTGTACCATTTAATTTGGCTGAGAGCAGATGTTATGCAGGAAAGCCTTTTCACCTCTCTATGTAGAAAACAATTGTAATTACTACTTACGATTGTCTGAAGCAATTATACATATGTCAGACTCACTTTTTGCATAAAAATAAAAAGCATGTGTGTCAATATTATAAATGTATTTATTATCAATCTCTGAATCCTGAATAGTAACTTAAAGCAGTAGCTCTCCATTTCTTGTGAAAGTGTTACAGAAGGGTGCTATCACAAAGTTTTGTATAATTAAAAAAATACTATCTCAGTAAGTTATTTTATACTAACATAGCTTTTTATCTGATATCATAAGTGCCATAGTAACAGACAGAGTGGTATGTTACATAAAATTGAAATTAAACTAAGAACATCTTAAATGAGAAAAGTACAGCTAATGCTTCATTCAGATGTGTTTATTTCGTGTTTTTAATTGCTTCATTGTCTGTTTCAGTAATTCACAGAGGCTACTCAGTCGTTAGTGTGAATTGGCAAGTTTGAGATCCCTGCTCTTTGGATGTGGGAAAATGGAGCTTAGCATATTCATCAGGTTAATCAGGTTGCCCTATTAAACAACCTACTGCAATAATATGCAATATGTGGCAATTTTGGGGGTGTGTAGTTATCAGGGAGATCAACATTTGATCCTTCTTGAGCTCCGTGGAGTTGATAAGCTGCAGAAACCTCATCAATCCCCCGATATTAATTTAATATTAATATAATATAATTAATTAATATTAATCCCCCTATCAGAATTAATTTCTGATAGATGTACAGAGTAAATAGGATGACTCTTAAATACGTTTTAGTATCTTCAGAGAAGGCAGGTTTGTTAGAAAAGAATGAATCTGCAAAATTTAGTAAAGAAATAGATTAGCCTATTCAATTAATTGAAGAATTAAAATTATGCAAGACTTGGGGGTGGAGGGGGAAGTGACGGTACATCAGTTATACCAAATTGCACTGATTGATGTATGAATATATTTAATTATAGCTTTTTTATTTTAAATTTTTCATTCTGTTCATTTTAATGAATGGATAATATTTGAAAACATAGAATTTCAGCATTCATTTCATATCTTAATAACTATTATAAAACCTTGCTTTGAAAGCTGTCATATTGCTTGTATGGATGTTCTAGCTAAATTGGCCTTGTGACCAGGGGGGTGCAGAATAGCTTACCTACAGAAAAGGTTTTCTTTGTTTACCTCACCAATTTCAGATGAGAGTTTATAGAAGGACCAGAATCGCATTTGACTTTCTTGCTTCTGATAGTGTATTTATTGGAAAACTAAATGGAAGAATTACAGTTACCTGCCTCTATCTTGCAGTTTTTGGAAAGGTTACAATAAAACCTGGAAAACATAATATTTTACCAGGTATGAAAAAAGCATTTTGGAAGAAATTTTTGCACTGTCCATATAAATGAATAATGAATTTTTGTCCCCTTTTTGCTGTGAGAAGGGATAGAAAAGTTTGCTGAAACTAATGCTAACTTTTGACATACAGTAAAGAAGAATTTTGAAACTAATGAAGAAAGCCAGCACAATGTAATGATGGCAAACTACTTAAAATTACTCTTTATGGGTTTCTATAGCTCTGGATGTCACGGTCTTGATTTTTTAATTAAAAATCTTGAAGTGCTATCCGTATAAGCAATCTGCTAACCAAAGCAGAAAAAACATCCGTGACTAGTGTAGTTTTGGTCAGTTTATCCTATCTCCCTATATGCACCATACCATATATAGGTTATCCTTTCTACTGTGAAAATCCCCTTCCCCCTCCCTCTCCTCATTGCAAACATCCTTCTTCCCCACATTCCATTCTCTCTTACACCCACCCAGCGGCACAGCCTTCCTCACCGAGCCACCATGGCACTGCGTGCCTCCGCTCCCCCAGCCAGCCTTTCTAAGCCCCTGTCCCACTCAAAATTGAAGGATTGCTGCTGTGCCACTTTCATTTTTTTTTGGCTATTTGACTTGCACACTAAAGCTGATCAGAAATTTTTTTCTTAAAAGTGTTTTCACTGAAAATAGCTGCTGTGTCAATAGAAAATGTTTCTGTTATAATTGTATTTTTCTAACCAAGAAGGTTTTTCCAATTCAGAATGGAATTTTTGTTAAGGTGGGGGAAAACACTGGACTTGATAATGACAAATATACCAAAGTTTGGGATGTTTACCTTAAAGGGTAGACCAAGACTCATGCGTCCCTGCTTAGCTTCTGGTCTGTTTCAATTTTCACCCTCTTGTATGTTTTACGGTTACTCTTTCTGTGTACTCTTCAAAAAATTTCTTGTGTGATCTGTATGGTTTATGACAATTATTTTTGTTGTTTTGAGAAACCTAAGGCGTTTTCCAGTATTGCTTCTACTGATGTTATCAAGAGCAGGCAGTAATAGTGTTTTGCAGATGATTTTACTACTCACCTGACCCTTTTACATCAGAAGTCTAGATAGGAAAATATACCAAAGGTTTTCAGTCATTGGATCAGTCGTTGGAGGTTTGAAGTGTTGATAACATGTTTTAAGTCCTGTTTTTCACAAATTTCTTTAGTGCTTGGTCACCTTAGACAGGACCTTACTCCGAGTGGCATGAGCAGCACTGTTGCGACCCTCTCTGTACAGTCAAATGCTACATTTCCATTTGTTTCCATCCATATACTGTCATGCTCTATTCATTTTTCCACATAATTTTTTTTTTGCTCTGAATTGATTCTCCTGCCCTTCCATTTCCCGGTACATGCACTTTAAAACATTGTATTGTGCCATCTGTCCAGCACTGCTGCTTTTGCCTAAACACATTTGTAGCACAGAAACAGATGTGCAGGCTCTGAATTGCAGGCCCCCAAAAAGTTTCAGGGGCTTGAAGGAACACAGCAAACCTATTTACACTGGAGAGAATTTTTGCAAAATTTGGTATTTGATACAGATAGACTGAGAAACATATTTGGCATAACCACTCAAGAACTGCAGGTTGTGATCAGGTGTATCTTTTATTGGGTCATGTTGATACATCATCCTTCACAGTGCCATCGTAATATCAAAACTACCTCTTTTAAAGTTTTTTGTTGTTTTACAACTGTTTCTGGGCCTTGATAACTCATACAGTTTACTTTGAAGTAGGAAAAAAAAGTAATGTATTAAAGAAAACAATGTACTGTATTGAACAGTTGAAAAAGAAGGTCAGAATGTAGGTGCCCACATGCATGCAAGCTAAGTGTGATAATTTCTGGGATCTGCTATTATACAGATGAATCATTCTGTCCATGGGATTGTGAAATTGGTCACAGATACACATTTTTCCTCTCCTTTCACAGGGAGATAAAATCCACAGATGAGGAGATAGGGCTAGTAACAATGATTGCTTTAAATTGTGTTGCCCATTTAAATTAAACTTGAGGGGGGGATTATTCTTCTGGGCACACCAGATTTTCGAGACTGCAAGTCTTTGAGAAATGGAAGCTGAGAAGCTGACAATGCCAAGTGGGTTTGGCCACCTGGAAAAGATGATTTGAGAGTAACCTGATAACCAGTCTGTTGAGCATGCTGAGATGCCTGGAGGAAGCAAGGATGAAAGGATACCTGTGAAAGGGCAGCAAAAACTGATTGCTAAAGACAGTCACTGGCATACCTGTCACAGGGGCTGGCATCCAGGAGGCCTAAAGCATCTCACTCAACACGCGCTCAGACACTGTAATCTAACGGGTGTTCAGTTGTGGGCGCTTTCTTTGGGCTTTGCAATGCTTTTTAGATACGCTTCCAATACAGCTCCTTCATTTCTGTCTCTTGTAATTTTGTCTAAATAATGTTACCACAGAATTTTTTTTCCTTTTCCATTGACGGATCAAAACAATCCGGTGCAGCAAGCAATCTAGTACAGTACATTTGCGAGGTTACTGTAACTAGAGTACTTCTCGGGTGCCCTTTGCTGTCGGCTGTAGATACTCAGCAAATCTCTTTTTGCTTAAAGAACTTACATACCATTAAAAACATTTCCTCAGTCATCTGACCTTTCACATCAGCGGAGTCTGTTTATTGTTCGTGTCTGAGGACGCTGACAGTAAATAAGGAGTAAGCTAGGCAACTTAAACCTTCCTTCATATCAACAAAGACTCCAACAAAAAAGCTTTTTCAAAATACCTGATGCCGTTACCCTGATAGTTAATATCATCCCGTAGTATTATTTCTGCAATAGTTTATTGCGCTGTTCCCAGCTACTAACATAAAACGTTAAATGGTTCATAAAAATGAAACTACCTCCCGTTCATGCTGCTTCCAGTGGCTCTGTCAAAGAAGGAATACCAGGCTAATGGATAAATTTTGGTCCCAGTTTGGCAATTCCTTTGTTCTTGCAGAGTTTCATGTTACTTACTCTCTATTTATGAAAATACTTCCCTTGTTAAGGCAGAACGCACTCACATACGTTGAGTTTTCCTCAACATCTGAAGACTGAAATAATTTCAGAAAATTAGGTAGCTTAAAGAAATGCATAAGGAAATATAAAATAATTCCATTTTTTAATTACTAACTGTTTGTACTAAAGCTGCCTACTTTCTCTGCAAACATTTTCCATTGCATAAGCAAGTAACACTGAAATGTTCAGCATTTACACAGGAATGCTGTTAACTGCTGCAAAATAAGGCTTGTAAGAGTTTGTAAAGCTCTGAAAGGTAGTAACTGAGCCATGTTTCTGACTTCCCTGTTTTATCTAGCAGACTTGAATTGTTGTTCTTTTAAAGATGTTTTGTTTTAGATAGCATGGGCATTTACCGTTACAGGTCTCAATGCATGCAGTTTAATAGTGTGTTTTCCTAGCCTCTTAAACTGAAGCAACTACAGGAGAGACGTAATGCAGTTGAAATAATGGATATTTCAGTGTGTAGAATCTTGTTACTCTTTGAATTGTTGCTTGACTGACAGAAATCCTGGCATTTAAAAATTAAATTAAGATGGGATATTTGGAAATCAAAGTCATAAAGAAATACAGTTTCCAGGTAATGTATATATCTGAGTGCTTTTTTTGAAAAATAGGGACATTTGCTTAGTCATTTTATGATAAAATAGCCATATTGAAAATAGTTGTGTTTTAATAGCATCTTCTCTTTTTACTTCATTTTTTTTTCCTGCAAAACTTGCTGAGCTTTATAGTCTTAAGTCCTTTACTGTGTTAATTTTATGTCAGTGAGGGGGCATATGAAATACAAGAATATATATTGTAAATGATAACTCTGGAAAAGAAGCTCAGTAGAATAATGAAGATTGTATTATATTTTTGCTGTTTGGTAAACAAAAGGATTGGAGGAATGAAGTTGTATATACAGGAACTCCCTACAGAATTTGGTTTTAAAGAATAAGATAATGTCTTCATTTTCTAATGGCTTTGCTGTAATTGATTGATCCTTTTTGATTAAACGCTTTTTTTCATGTTTTGCGAAGATTAGTCACATAATCTCTGAGTTAACACAGGAACCGTTAGAAAATTGTAGATTAACACACTGGAGCCTAGTGCAGTTACTAAGCTGCATTCCTTTAGTTGAATGTCCTTCCATTCATCAATTAAACATTGGAAACAAACTTTATTTCTTCCTTACGTTATGGAGCTGCTGGATTTCACTAATGGTAGTATGAAAACTACTAGACATAGTTTCATGCTTCTTATATAAAGATCTTGAACACATTGTTCAGCACGGCTTTTTATTATGCTGAATAGCCCAATTATATCCATTCCTTTGGACGAAGGAAATTTGAAATTACCCCTGTAGTGCATGTAAAGTTTATCAAACTTGTCTGGAGAACTTTCAGGGTAAAAGCTTGGGGAGGAGGTTATTTGGGAGGATTATAGGTTCAGGTTTCTTCACATTTATATTTCTTTTTAATACTGTTTTCTAAAATGAACCCTGCAAAACTTCTCTTGACTTTTCTTGTCATTTTAGTTTGTTTTCTTTTATCATTTCAGGAGAGTAGAAACAGCAGTAGATCATCTAGTCCTAGTGTGAGAATGATCACTACCTCGGGACCAACCTCTGAAAAACCAGCTCGTAATCCATGGACACCTGATGATGCAGGTAATCCTTTGTTCATTAGTTAACTTTTTGCCTATAAAAAATACATCTATTTGATTATGGTGTGGGGTGTGTGCCCAGGCATTATCAAAACCAAGCAGTGAAAGTCACAGTCCATTTTAGTTGTGCTTAAATTAAATCATTACATTACTGCTTTGATTTGCACACTGGCTTTAAGAACTTTTTTAATATCTAATATATTAAATTACATAAACTTGTAAGCATTTTGCTTGTAATAAAATACTGTACCTATGCAGTTATAGTACTATTTAATGCAGATCTTTTAGCTCCAATTATTGATTGTAGTGTGGTTTTGGGAAATGAGGGGAATAGACATCTTAGAGCATTTTAGACTTTGTGCATTTGTATTATGAATGCACAATTAAAGCTTTCATTACTTTGACTTCTGGAATGAAATGTTATGTAGGTGAGTATCAGCTGGAATACATTAGTTCTATTTTTTTATCCGTGTTGTAATTTTACTTATTCGGAATGTACATGTGCACACAGTCTTACTGTTTTTAAATGAACTAATGTAAGTGTCTGGAGAAGTGTTGTAAATACTTCTGTAGCATCACTGTTCTGTTATGAAATATGATTAAGAGTGAATATAATTTAATAGCTGAATTCAATTTTAAAAGTCATAATGCATTCCCTTATGAAAAGAACCAGTACTGGACTGCATGAAAACAATGAATACCCACAAAGTCCTTTTTAGAATATAAATAAGAATTACATTTTTCTTACCAAAATGTACATGTTGAATCCTATACTTAATCTCAGGCTGGTACCTCATAGTGCCTCAAATTCTGAAATCTTTTTCTTGTGATCTGTTTCATCTTTGACTGACCAGACTATTTCATTCTTTTCCTGTAACCAAATGCAAAATAGAAACTCACATGTGGACTGACTCTTGCACAAGCGTGTATATATATACACATATATATATATGCACACTTGTATTTTACCAAATATAAGGTGATTCTGTATGTAAGATGTGTACTTTTTTTTCCCCTCACCCGTTTTGGTGGAAGGAGGGCAACATACCCTTGTATTTTGCTTCTGTGCTTTCTTCTTTCTGTCCCTTGTCACTTTGCCTGATCACACTACGCCTTGGCACTCATAATTTCCAAATCCCTTGCCCACTGCCACAGCCCACCCTGTGCCCTCTTTTGTGTAGCATGGGTCCTGAATTGCTTTAGGCAGGGAGCACTTACAGGAATTGCTGCCTCACACAAAAACAAGCTCTTACCCAATCCATACTTCATTGGGAACTGAAAGTTGCTGGTGATATGCCAGTGCAAAGGCAGTTTTTCCCAAGTCTTTGGCCTTAAATGCAGCCCAGCACTAGAGCTAAAAGTCAGGTCTGTTTTCTGGTCCACAGAAATCCCTCACCTTATACTCAGGTAAATACAGAATGTACCACATGTATATTTTTTCTTGTTAGGTTTATGCAGTCCATAAGCAAATAATTGTTTGAATTTCTAAAAAGAGAAATAATTTTAGTTTTCTGTAAAAGAGGGTACATTTTTAAATTAATGAGGCAAAATGATAAAATGAGGATGCAGCCGAATCTGGTCAGTCACAGGAAAAGTTACAGTTCTGTGACACAGTGCTGAAATGCTCAGGAATGTCATCTGAGGTATTTTGCATGTATTGATGTATTTGAAACATTACAGTAATTCCTTTGCTGTAGCGGTATGCCGTATATGGCAATAGTCTAACATAGGGAAGGACTCTTTCTATTGTTCTCATTTAAGATACTGTGGTGATTAAGTCTCTGGTTTTAGGGTTGTTTCTTTTTTTGTTTCTTTTTTTTTTTTTTTACCACCTTCCAGTTTCCTTACAAGCATACACTTAACCACTTTTTCTCCATTCCCACTCTCTTATTTCTGTTTCCTTTTGAAGCTGCTCTTGGAGATAGCATAGTCTTTGAGGGCAACACCTTAGTTTCTCTACCACGACTACTCTGTGGCAGGTGCTTTTGGGGTATGGGTAAGCAGCCCCTTTTTTTTCCCACCTACCCTCCTCCATATAATCCTCTAGTAGCAATAATGCAGCTATAAAATCAGTAGTTTCTCCATGTGTCTTTACTCCTATGTCTCTTAAAGCTTAACAGTAACCTTGTGGGCTACCAAAAGATAGGATCTATATGAATTCAGAAACATGTTAAATCTGCAATGAAAGCACTAGAGAAATCCAGAGTAACTGCAGTGTAAGAAGAGAGCAGCCAGGCCCAGGAGATAGATTGATTATTGGGCTCCTTGCTACCCACAAAGTATCTCTAACAGAGCAAAAAAGATGTCCTAGGGCATGTTGTGAGGAAGATGCTTACAGACCTACCTCAGTAGGCTTCAAAACTGGGCAGGAGCTTGTGCTTATTTTATTTTGGCAGAGCTGGTTTGCACAGCTTCTAATTTTAAAATCATTAGATGCATGGGCTGGCTGGCTGATCCTTCATAAACAAGAATGAAAAGGCAACTTTTTTATAAATAGAAAACATGATTGCAAACTGTACAAAAATAGTATTTTTAAAGTCAGTATGCTTTTACATGGCTTCTAGAAGTGTAGGACGATAACCTTAATCTTTATTTCTTCTTGGTGTGATAGACCATACTTTTGAAGTTCTTAACTTTATCAGAAAAACAAAATGATTCATCTGCCTTGGGATTGGAACGCTGCTATTTCCATTTGCCTTTCCACATTCAGATTGTGTACTGTGAAATGATTTAGTGTTCTTGTTTTTGTCCTGTAAGAATAGAATTAACTCCGACAATACATCAAAGTTTTCTTGGTGTTGTTACAGAGACCAATGGGTCAGATAACTCCATCCCAATGGCATATCTTACATTAGATCATCAGCTACAGGTAATAAATACATGCTTTATTAGATACTTTATCTTGCATCTCATTCTAATGTGTGAATTTTGGGCTGCAAAATATAGTGCCACATATTTACCTGTGTTTATATTCTATCTAAATTTTGACCAAGGCTAAAAAAATATATTATGTAATATGAGATTGGTTGACTGAGATTTGATCAAGCTATTAAAAACAAGCCCTGGGAAACATGATCCTTAAAACCAAATGTAAGCTGAGTTTGACTGTCAAAGTAAGACATTATTTGCTTGAGTGTTACTGAATTAAATTCTTGTATTCGCTTTATTTGTTGTGTGGGGGATTGATTAAATACTACTTTGATTTTTGTTCCTTGTGACAAAGAGTATCAGATTAATAACTGCAGATTTGAGGTTTGAGTCAACTTTGACATCAGTGTGGTAACATTTTCCAGGGCATGGTTTAACACTTATTTTTAAAACCTTCCTGGTTTTTAAAAGATGTTATAAATACACTGCAGAGACATTCTAACATACTATATACTAAGATATCAGTTCATTAGTTTTTCATGTGTCTGATTTATTTTCAGCCTCTAGCACCATGCCCAAACTCGAAAGAATCTATGGCTGTGTTTGAACAGCACTGCAAAATGGCACAAGAATATATGAAAGTTCAGACAGAAATTGCATTGCTGTTGCAGAGGAAGTAAGTGAAACATGTTAAACCTTTTCTGTTCTTCCATATGTTTCTTTTACCCAAAGTCTGTTATCTGTGACTATTATTTCTGCCTTAATCTCAGAAATACTGAGCTGCTCACCATAGGTGAGAGATTCAGAGCAGGTAATTGAAAGTTTTAATCAACATCAAGACTCTTCTTCTGGACAAGTCCTACTTTAAAGTGTGTAGCGCATCCATGTATGTAACATACTAATAAATGTTTGTTTGTATTGGCTCAAAGGAAAGACCTGTACTTTTGAGGAACCTTGGAAAGTTTATTTCACACACTAGCCAGGAAAGGGTTTTAAATTGTAATATGTAAATAAACATTTGGACAATGCATTATAGAATTTTGAGTAATATATCAGTTACTCATTTTGCAGTTAGTTTTTATCTTCTATATCTGGCTTTGTTAATCATTGCATTGTGTTATCAGCCTTAGCAAGGTCATGTATTTTTCTACTAGGCAGTTAGGACCTAATACTTAAAAGCATGTGTAGCTTCTTATCCTGGTGCACTAGAAATAATCTCTTCCCACTTACTTTGTGTACACATGTAAGGGAAGAAACTGCATGTATTGTTGGACTAGGGCCAAAGTTATCAGTGGTTCAGAACTTCAGTTTGCAATAGTTTCTGTTGTGTTCTGCTTCTCATCATTTCTATTTCCTGACACTGGGGAGCAGTTCTGAGAGTTCACAATATACTCCCATGCTAGACCAAGTAACCAGCTTGTTACCCACCAGTCTCTGAGCCACTGCAGGCTAGTGGTTGTTAATGAGGAGCTTGCCTTGGTGTTTGTGGAACATCTAACAAGAAAAATGTGTGTATAAACCTCTTGTACATTAAAAATAGCATACAGAATGGGGGAAAAGCTACTGTAAGATCGACCTCCTATCATCTATTCACTTTTGGCTTAGCATCCTGGGAATTTTTTTTTTTTTTTATTAAGTGCAAATAGAATTTTTAGATTTCATGATGAGATAATGAAGCTAGTGTGAAGATCTTAATTTTGGTTTTATTTTCTGGTTCAAAACTGTTAATTCTGTACCTTTAGATTACGACTTTGTCTTTTGTTTTTTCTAGGAAGTTTGCATACAACATTTCTCCCAAACTGTTTTTTCTTAGAACATAATTGCCCGTAGGTGTGTTAAAACAAAAAATAGTATTGTGATTGATAAATTTAATGCTGGTTAAGGTAGTTATTGTTCAGCCTTTTAATAATTATAATGATTGTTTATATTTTTAT